TTCAATTTTATTAAGCTTTAGTATGTCCATTCACGATCTACTTCAATCACCCTTTGCTTCTCATTTGGATATCGAATTTCTCGATTTTCCCTCTTTCTTTTCTTTTTATACACAACAAATACTTTCTTATTTCATCGATTAAATAAGGGATCTCTTTTATTAATTAACACGCTTTATTTGTATATATGCGTGTGTTGCTTTAGTATACAGAAATTTTTAGTATTTGAAGCTGAATTTATCTACCCAAACTAGTTATATAATAAAGTTTCCAAGATAATACAAATAAATAAACAGTTATTAAGCTACACTAGTATTCAAGAACTTTTTTAATTAACGACTTAATCAAGAACATTTGCGGTTACATGCGTTTAATGTCAATAAAAAAAACTTATCATACGTACATGTTCATAACTTGACATTTTCTACATCTAAACTAGTCGATTAATAACTCAATTAATATTTATGTTTAAAAAGTGTTTGCATTCATGAAAATTTGGATTTAAAGCATGTGATAGTGATTTTTTTTTTTTTAACAAAGAAAAAGAGAAAGTTGGTAGCTTGTTTTTTTTTTGTTTCCCTTTGGGATCATCAAACACTTTATCACATTATCGCCCACAAATCATTTTTACTTTGCACGTAACGGATCCTTGCTCAACAATAATATCATTCTCAAAATTCTTCACTTTTACAATTGCTATTTGTTTCGAAATTTAGATGTCAAAGCTGAGATGTCGTTAAATTTGCATCTAAAGAATTCTAGAATCGGAGAAGTTGCAAGAGTTTAAAAATGAAGAATTCAAGATGTCGTTAAACTAGTACCTGACTAGAATATTTTTGATAAACTTTTAAAAATTACCAAATCCCACAAGTTCATGGTGAATGTAAGAATATCATGAATTTAAATTTTAAATTCCTAAATTGTTTACTTGGAAGACAACTGCTTGTGAAAGAAAATAAAATATAAGACTATATACATATTTGAGTATAATCATTTGTCTATAATGTTTTAATGTTAAATAGTAGTATATGTTTTATTTAAATAGTTAACAGAGCAATCAAAAGTAAAATAATGTTGATCAAATTTTTTACAAACACAAAGTTTATAACACGAAATATAGTTACAAACTCAAACTCAGATGTAGAGATCACATGCGGTTTTTTCTTTTTTCAACAATCACATGAAATTAAAACTTT